AAGAAAAAAGGGAAAATAAGGTGGAAGTCACAAAGACACAATTGGTTTGAATATGTCTTATGATACTGCCAAAAGTTGAATTTTGCTCCATCCTGTCTAAATTTGCCAGACACTCCCTGGCCTGAAACTGCTTATTTTATTCCTTTGAAGATGAAATCAGAAAGTTTCCATTGTTATTTTTAGCTATTGTCAGGTGGTTGTTCGACCAGTAAAAGCACACCTTGACAAAAATGCATTTTGGTCACGAACAGCTACAACAGCTTTTTTTTTCTTAGCCACAGATGAGATGCACTTAAAGAATCGTTTTTTAAACTGCTCTCTGAGCTCAGATTTGCACCACTGCTAAGTGAGTAAACACAGTTAAATCATTCTGCTGTGCTGACCCAATCTCGTTCCAAATATATTAGTAAATGAATTGGCTGAAGGATAATTTTGTTTACTTCTATAAACAGATCAATTTTGGCCAGTTCTAATCAAATGAGATGCAGAGTGCAGGAGCCGAGACTTTTCCTGTCAACACTCCAGTATCAGGAAAGCACTGTGCATAAATTTAGTTGAAGTAAGCTTCTATTTTTTTCCCTTTTTTTTACTGCTTAGTTCAATTTATACCTTAGGCTGCAAGATCTTCATCAGCGGAGTATGTTTTAACAATTTAAAATGGTTATGGAATGATTTGAGTTAAATTAATGATGTTATATTCTTCTTCTTGTGTTTCCTTTTTTTTCCAGGGCCAAGTCATGTTTCGTAATGGAGAGAGAATGGGCACAATAAAATTCAACCAGTTTCAAGGTATGTGTGATATCACCACCTGTCTCTTTTTTTGCTTTGTTTTTTTACTATAAATTAGGCTCCTGGAGTGTGTGGAGCCTATCATAGCTGACACAGGCCAAAAGGGAAGAGTACACTTTGGAAAGGGGACCTGTCACAGGGCCACATAGAGAGGGAGAACGAGAGACAAAAACACACTGTCACATCCACTCATACAGCCAATTTAGAAATGCACGTATATTTTTTCGACTAGAGGAAACTTATGCGAGCAGGTCGAGAGCCTGCAAACTCCACACAGAAAAGAGCCCAGGCTGACCAGGATGTTGACAAAAGTAGCCTTCTTGGTGTGAAGCAGTGAGGGTGGCTCGGTATAAGTGCAAGTGGCCCACTTTTTGCTGCTTTTGTGGTTCCATCGCTCGATTCCCTCCACAGGCATGGATGTGTTGGTGACAGAGAAGAAAACACTTTTAGAACCTTATTTCAATGCTACTAGCATAGCAATTAAGCATTTAATCATTTAAAATTTCACAACACAATATGTGTTATATGAGAAAAATACAGAACAAATTGATTTATATTTAACGCTCACTACATTTCCTGTGTCACACCCTCCTGTAGCCATCCACACTTATTCGTAACATGACTCCAGACTCTAGAAGTATATTGCTATCATTTGTTGAATGCGAATTACTCACATCTCTGTTCAATAAGAACTGAAGTTGTTTTGCTGTATTATCACAGCCATCTGGTTCCAATTAAAAGGCTGCCATTGTTCATACCATTGTCTATAGCTGCAGCAGACACCTATTCAGAAGAAAGAGAGGCTGAGAATATTTCCACGTTGGAAGTTAGATGCTTTGTTCACATATTTCTATTATTTTTCTGGAGAGAAAAATTTGCTGTAAGAACTGTTTTCCACAAAAATAGGCATGAATTGTTTAGAACATTTGTATTTCTGGTGTGGAAAGCTTCCACAGGACTATCTGTGTGGTCACATAAGACACATAAGATGAACAATAAATTGCAAAACCTTTAACTATGGCCTTTACTCCTTTGGTATTATAGGATTTGTGCACGGACATGTATATGAGAAGCATGCCTTGGTAGTCTTTGTCCTCATATGGCATCATCCTGAGGTTGTTTTGAGCCAATGGGGCCTGCTGAGTGGGAGAATAACCCAGAGATTGCATCTTGGTGCAGGGGATCCCCAGCTCCCAGGCTTCCCAGACTATATGTAGCACACTGCATGGCGCTGTTCAGTCCTCTCTGCCTCACCATCTTATCTTCCTGACTGCAGAGGGGCTTGATCCCTCTGGCGGTTTGCATCACACTCCTTGTGTGTGTGTGTGTGTGTGTGTGTGTGTGTGTGTGTGTGTGTGTGTGTGTGTGTGTTTCTATCCCTGACAGTTGAAGAAATATAAAAGGCAGTA